GATTTAGGAATAGATAAGCATTTAGTACAAAGTGAAGCAATTTTTAAAATTAGTAAGGGGCAAGATGTTAGATAGAATCATCTAAGGCTCCTCAAACAGGGTGGGGACAGGTCATCAGGCCAACAGGCTGCCTGCGTGTATGGGAGTGGGAAGTGGACCCCAGTCTCCTGAGCGTCCTTAAAATCTCTTCTTCCTATTATCTGTCATTGTTCAAGTCGGGAGAGCAATTGGTGTCTGGAATGTGTTTTTACTTCTAGGAAACTGTGCCACAAACAACAGGAAATGTAAATTTTACCAATTGATGCTGTACAGAATGTTCTGTCTGCTTTGTTTGCAATAAAAAAATCTTGGAAGTTTCCCTATGTCCCATGAGACTAGGACAGGTAAACAAATACCATCTAGTTGTCAAAAGGAGTAACATTGCTGGGTGTGGTGGTGCACACCTGTAAACCCTGGAGGCTGAGGCAGGAGGGTTGGGAACTCAAGATCAGCCTGGTCTACACAGAAAGAACCTGTCTCAAAAATAAAAATAAGTGAATAATAGAGGAATAAAGCTGATCTTTATAATAATAGAAAATATCCATACCACATATTAAGATTTTTCTTAAAAACAAGCCATAGAACAGCCCTGTCTAATAGAAACAGAATGCATATCACACAGTAATTTCAAATTTTCTAGAAGGAATGATTATTTTATTTTTTATTATTTTTTAAAAAATTTATGTGTATGAGTGTTATGCCTACATGTGTGTGAGTGAGCTCATGTTGTGCAGTGCCCAAGGAGGACAGAAGAGGGTACAGGACCCACTGGAACTGGAGTCACAGATGGTTGTTAGCCGCCATGTGGGTGCTGGGATTCAAATCCAGGTCCTCTGCAAGAACAACCTGTGCCCTAACTGTTGAGCCATCTCTCCAGTTCCCAGAAGAAATAATTTTGAGATAAAGGAACATCAAAAGAAAGGTGAAATTCATTTTTATAGTTTAAATCAGAAATGTCAAAAATTCTTTAAATATGTAAATCAACATAAAATTAATAAAATAATTGATATTTTAAACATGAAATCTTCAAAACTGGATAACTATTTTACACCAACCACACGTCTCATTTTAGGCCAGCTATATTTCAAGAATCAAAAGCCACTGATGAATACTGGTTGCTATGTTTGATGGTACAAGCATAAAACAAGAACATCACATATGTGTCTATTTGAACGACCCCAAACAACTGTATAAACCCAGGGACACGTGGAAGAACACACAAGGAATGACTAACGGTGGTTACCTCAAATGAGTGAGACTATGGGAAGGGAAGGCAACCAGAGTTCAGTTTATGTTCTGTTTTTGTTTCTCTTTTGAGATAGAGTTTTGTCACATAGCCCGGGTTGGCCTGAGACTCGAGCTGTCCTTGCTTCAGCCTCGTTGCCTAGAATTACTGGGGTGCATCACCATGCCTGGTAGGAGTCAGTTCATGAAAATACCTATTTGTATTATATAAGAACATGTCAAACATAACATAAAAAAGTAAAAGGGCCTGGAGAGAGGGCTCAGCAGTTAAGAACACGTGCTATTCTTCTAGAGGACCCAGGTTTGATTCCCAGCACCCACATGGCAGCTAACAACTGTCCATAACTCCAGTTCAGGGGATCCAACACACTCTTCTGGTTTCTTCAGGGTCTTAACACACATATGGTATACTTGCATGCATGTAGGCAAAACACTCATACACATAAAATAATAAATAAAATATTTTAAAAAGTAAAAGAAAAATCATTTGTCTTCTTCAATACAGTATGTCAATATAGAAATCATCTTAAGAAAATAACAAAATAAGTACCAACATTTATGTGTAAGGATGCACTTGGCACTGTTACTCGTAATGATAAAAAGTACACCCTGTGGGGGACAATTCCTGCTTATGAGAGCATTGTGGGAAGCACTCTTGCCCACCATGGTTCAGCAAGGAGCACCCCATCCACAAAAGCACTGTGAGGAACATTCTGGTCCATGAGGGCCCTGTGGGGAGCACCCCGTCCATAAGAGCCTCGTAGGGGAGCACTCTTGTCATGAAGGCACTATAAGTCAATGAGGGGAGTACTCCTGTCCATGGGAGCTCTGTGAGGAGTACTGGGCACTGTGAGGAGTACTGGGTACTATGGGGAGTACTCTTGTCTATAAGGACACTTTTGGCATAAGATGACAAATAGCAAAGATATTTAGACCTGTCCATCCCTCATGTCTTTGGACATTTCAGAGACAGGGCTATGTTGAGTGTGTGCATGTATGTGTTCCTGTGTGTGTGTGTGTGTGTGCAAGTGCACACTGTACATGCATATCTACCAGAGATCAATACTCAGTGTCTCTCTCAATCTCTCACTATCTTATTTGTTGAGACAGGATCTTTCACCAATCCTGAGCTCACCAACTGAGCTAGAATGACTGACCAGCAAGCCCAGGGTTCTGCCTGTTCTTACCTCCCCAGTGCTTGGGCTCTCAACATTGTGCCCTGGCACCTGACTTCTTAGGTGGCGTTGAGAATCTGAACTCAGGTCCTCAGGTTTGTCCAGTGGCAACTACTTTATCATCTGAGCTGTCTCCCCAGCCCCACATTCTACTTTTGAGAGAGCAGCCTTGGTTATTGAACTGAGGGCTTCTAGCATTAGAAGAAAGACTCTTTGAGTGAAAAGGGTTGGAAGCCTGCCTTCACCGCGTGCTTTTGCTTCTCCACTGGAAAGATGACACGATAAACACTTTCCTCATTGCAGAAGGAGGTGGATGATTAGACATGTTCTAGAAAGTGCTGAGAGGTGGTAGGTACAGAAAAACAAGACTGCTCATCACTCCTGGGAGTACTGAATACTGAAAACTAAATGGAGAAGACAGAAGTTGTTCAGCAACTCTATGTGTCCTAATAACAAATGGATCTGTGCCCAGGGAGTCACTGAGCTTTAATGTTTGAATGGGTGACGTTTTTTTCATAAATGTGTGGGGGGATGTTTTGGGAGTCCTGCTATGAACCTTCGGCTTTACTTGTGTGTGTGTGTGTGTGTGTGTGTGTGTGTGTGTGTGTGTGT